CAGTCACAGTAATAATATTAAACTTATAGTTATTATTTACTTGGCAATTGTTCGTATTGCATACGCGTCAATAATATTGTAAAATGCATAATGAATTAGCTTTTCAATCTTATATAATCATATATAGAGTATATTTTAATAAAGACTATATTAGATATATTAAAATGTTTTACATAAATAATAAAAGTACGCAATGGGCACTAGCTTTGTCAGTCCACTGCAAAAACTGGTACGTACACAATTAGAGTATGAATGAGGTTGTGTCCGGGTGTCGGAGGAACCCCGGGGAGTCCTCTCTAGTTTCGGTCGCGCCCGGACATAGAGAATGAGAACCGTGGAGTGTTTGTTTGAGAGACTGAGTTTTGCAATTTTTTAAATATAGGGTTAGGTAGGTAGGTAACTTTCTCTCTGGTGTGTGTGTGCTTAATCTAAGTAGGTAGGGTCAGGGCAGGACTGTCCACATTAGTAATTCGGGTAGGCGCGTTTTCGCGTGGCAGTTCTGTTCCTGTAGTTACGATTTCGAGAGTAGAAATTTTGCTGATTCAAACGGTGTACTTGTGCTGTTTGTTTCGGCTTTATTTTCGACTCCTCGAATCGCGCGACTCTTAAAGTCGCTCTCTCGCGCTCGCGGTCGGGATTAGGTCCTTTTCGAAATGTTCGTCCCGCTCGAGATTCACCACGTATGCTCTTGCAACAATTCGTATATTGTTGGAAGACTACGTATTGCACAAAATCTCGAGCCCGGTCTTTCGTAAGTTTCAGGCATCGGCAGGACCGCCGAAGAAAGAAAAGGCTCTCAATGAGCCGAAGAGGCCCTGACAAACTGTCTCAAGAGTGGGCTGCAACAAATGGCTTTTCATCTTCATCCTCGGATGAGAATGGAAAGTCATTCCTGTTACTACTTTGTCACTTAACTCGTCTGTAGTTGTAGTTAGTTTATTTTTCTGGCTGGCTCACGTATGCATGTACCTGATGGTACATGATTGCACCATACATGCCAGCCATCCCTCCCCATAACTCGCAGTTATGATATACATAGAGTTGCGAATATGCAATAATCGCGTTTGCTTGTAGAGTTGCGAATCACTGTTTTTCGCGTTTCCTTTTCAGGGTAGTGTTGCGCCTTGACATCATACGCGATTGGTTTTTTGCAAACTTAGGTACCGAATGTTTGCTTAAAAATAGCGTTGCGAATTTTTGATAAACGTGATTGCTCGTAGAGTTGCGAAATACTATTTTTTGCGTTTGCTTTTCAGGGTAGTGTTGCGAACAATCACGATTCGCGTTGCTTTTTTACTCTTTTATATATATAATAATGGATGTCAACCGCGTTTGTAATTTTCACGTTATAAATTAGCGTTGCGATCTTGATTAATCGTGCGATTTTTTATTTAGCGTTCTGATATTTTCAATGCCCAAATTCTACCCCAATTGTAGTACTAGTAGTAGTTAGTTTATTTTGTGGCCAGTACATGGCTATGTACATGTACCAATAGCCCCTGATTAAAGTTAGAGTTGCGAATAATATACAATGTTCGCGTTTGCTCGTAGAGTTGCGAACAAATATTTATCGCGTTGATATATTAGTGCTGCGAATAAATACGATTCGTGATTGTCTTTATGCAAACCTAGGAACCGGGCGTTTGCTTTAAAAATAGCGTTGCGAATTTTTAGTAAACGCGATTGCGAATTACTATTTTTCGCGTTTGCTTTTCAGGGTAGTGTTGCGAATAATTACCATTCGCGGGTTGCTTTTATTCTTACAAGTCGCGTTTGGAATTTGTTCTATTATAAATTAGCGTTGCGATTGTTGATTTATCGCGTTGTTGCCCCGTAGTGTTGCGATATTTAAAACGTCTAACTTCATCCCCATATGTGCCACTCTATTGTAGTTTGAAATAGCTTGATGTAGTTAGTTTCTTTGTACAATTTTATTTATTGTCTGATTTATATTTCAGGGAAACATCGTGGGATTAATCAAGACACCAAGAAGAAATATTTTTTCATATTTATTTGTTTCATATGAGTTATATATTTTATTGGATATGAGTTTTTGTTTCAGGAAAACATCGTGGGAGTGACGAAGACACCAAGAAAATATCTTGTCATATTTCTTTGTTTCATGTGTTGCGCGTAAACATTAATTTCGGTTTGCAGTAGCGTTGCGAGTACGAATATTAATCGCGTTGTTTTTAGTGTTTCGATTATTTTTTCGCGTTTGCTTCTCATAGCAGATTCCATGAATCACGAAGCAGCTGAGTTAGCTGCATCTGTTGTAATTCTCCGCAGCCTGAAAGGGCCGTTCCTAATTTACCATATTTTACTTCTGACGACCAAATTTTCATTTACATTCTTTAATTGATTGATTACTTCAATGAAATTAATCGATTGATACTTAACTTTTAACCGTATAGCTTTTATTCCGTTAAAGTACAAAAGAATTTCATTTCCTATCATAATAAACACTATGATTGCTTTCTATAGCTTGTTGGTGATGTTGCAAGTAACATCAAAACTTAGTTAATTCCTTAGATACAAAACTTAAGTAATGTTGGTAAACGTAAATATAAAATATAAAAAAGAAAATAGACAATTCATCTAAAGAGGTTATTACTCTTATTCTAAATTCCTCCTTCCAGTAAGAATATCAGAAACAGAAACAGAAACGGAAAGAAATGTACCATATTTTTGGAAGAAATTAATTCAATAGATATTGTAAAACAATCAAATTATGTGGATTGTCTTTTTGTACAATATGTCAATGAAAATTTATTTAGTCATGGATTATTAAAGAGAGTATTACAACAACAGCACGCGAGTTTGGGGAAAATGTTTCATAGCCGCTTTTGTAGCGACACTTGTGTACAAAGGGTAGATATTTCAATAGGAAATAAGTATTCATAATTGGTGTATATGGTAAAGTCACAGTTTAACCATTATATATAAACAAGTATGGAACGAATTTATTAACGACGAAATGTTCGGTCACTTTCAAAGTAAATAATTAATAAATAAGATCCATGAACTCCATGAAAACAATTCAGTTTCAATGCAGACAAATTATGTGACAAAAAACTCAGTATCTGGAAAGTCGCAAATCTCAGTTGAACTGATGAAATATAAAACGCCCTTAACATCTATCTCGAACGCTAATCGCCTAATATATTAACAAGTTTTCTCAATCCTCCAATCTGTGGAAGTAAAAACTTTCCAAACACAACAGAATCGATTTAAGGCATAATTACGTTAGCAGAATTTAACCTAAGACACTGTTTGTTACAAGTACCTCATGTTTACATAACTAGATAGCTGTTCATTTTCAAATACACATAAATGTCATCTTTCAGTCGCTAGTTAATACTTATTCGACGCTCGATGGTTTAGAGTCATTCAAGCAAATTGTTGATCGATAGCACGGTATAGCAATCAGCATGATAATGAGTATGTCGCGTACTACGTAAGCATATATATTATTTAAAATGATAATATGGTAAATAAATTATAATAATTCAAAGAATTACCTAAATTCACAAATGTGCGCATGTACTAAATTTTGTAGTGGTTTGCAGTTCTCTGTTTAATCACATACATTTTTTAATACTTTATGGATCAGTCCCGCGCAGGATTGGTCCATATTAGTTGATTGGTTGTGAAACTTTAGTAACTGAATTTTTATTCAACATTGTACAGTATGCTACCATTGAGTTGTTAATGGATGCGTACTGGTACATTTTACAATACTTTATAAATTAAACTGGTTCTACTAACAATATACTAATGTGGCCCAATTCCACTCTGATGTGTGAATTTAACACTGACAAGCCCATGTATAGCAAGTATTTCAATGTGCCACACATACAATTTTTGTGACTTTATTGGCATTAATATACATAAGGCTGCATATAGCTTCAAAATTATAGTTCACAAAAATATTGACAATAGCAAAACAATTAAAGACTTAATAATAATTAACTGCACCCATCGGATTAACGCTAAGAATAAATAATTAAAATTCAGAAATTATCTTTAACATACTTAGGTAATTGTGTACTTATCTTCTTGCTGCGCAAATGTCTGTTAGATTATTGTCTTATGTTATTTTATGAAGATGATCATGTGTACCATGAATGACATTTATAAAAAGTTAGAAAATATTAAATGATTTCTGATTATTTTTTATATTACGATGTTTTGTATTACCATCAAAGTTTAAGTTACATCGATCGTTTGTAAGTTTGAAAGTTTTTTCTTTGCTTAGCAATATTATAATTGGACCATGATTTTCTATATGAAATTAAAAGTTTTGGTTCCTACTTTCGAAAATATCAGCATTTGTGCAGTCTACGTTTACACAAATAATTCTTTTAAACCAATTACCGTATATTCTTTTCAAAGTTCAATGTAATTCCCTTTAAATCAATCTGATCAGACAATAAAATATCAAAGTTCAATGAGAAGACATTTGTCTGTTTGATTATGAATATGTTGCTTCGTGAAAAAATGGTTGTGTATTACGTTTGATATATGAACTTCATTATCAGGAAAATATATTAAGTGACTATTTTATAGAACAAACAACTGAAAGAGCTACAAATACCTTATTAAGTAATTGAACTACTAGCCATTAAGGACACAATCATAGAAAAATTATACTTCTTAACATATTTTCCGTATTAATAAAGCTGATATTCTTTTAGTTACAAATTAGCGACAGTTCCTTATCATTGAACACAAGATATGTGAACAGAAACTTTTCTAGAGCAAATGAGGCCGATAGTTGCCTATGTTACGATATTACCGGTAGCACACCCTGAAAATATACTATTTTTTAAAATCAAAAACAATATTTTACTGTGTTTTATATATTTAGAATGTAATAAATTATTTTAATACATTTACAAAAATAACAAAAGTTTTTATTTTATAATATTAATGTCATTAAATAGAACCTTCTATTATTTTTGTAAATGTACTAAAACAATTTATTAAATTCATTAATATATGTATTAGATAGTGGTCTTAATATGAAATATTATAAAACTTGTAATTTTCTCGAGTTTATAAAAAATGGATTTACTGTTTTCCATGGGTCCAAAAACTTAGTCTGACATCGACGCATTCGTTTTTACATTTTGTATCGAATTTTTATTAATTCACCTTGCGTGATGATAGTCGCATTCGAGCATTCCTACAATCGATCATTTCTACCAGCTGATTTTTTACCAATTTTTCGTTATCAAATCGCCTTGTTTAAAGATCCCCGAGTATGTTCCCCAATGATCCCTGTTTTCGATAGTAGGTAAATAAAATTCGCTCCTGTTGGAACGATGAATTTTTTAAGGCGACCTTCAGAAATATAATATACATATACCGTTCTCTCTTAACTGAACTTGTATTTGCGATTACAAAAATTAACATCTCACGAATCGCGAGACCGTGTTATACTCCATAGTTCACGTTTAACATGTTTCCATTTCTTCCATCGATGCTCCGAAGCAAGGCCGAACACGAGATCATCGAACAAGATCACGAGTATGAGCTGCGCCAGTTTAGGGCTTATAATGGTTTACTTACAAAACGGTCGCGACAATGATATAGAATTAGGTTAAGAGGTTTTTAGAGATTTGTCCGCGTGTGCTAATGTAAGCGAACCTACTAGGGACACAAGCGTACGGTCCAACCATGTTACTGGGTTTGGATATAAAAGACCTCCTTCGTAGAATCCCAAGTGACCTCCATGAGCCAATTCTATGTACAAAGTGTTAGGGTGTTTTTCTGAAATAGAAAACGATAATCAATATACAAAATAATTAATAACGAATTGAACAGTTTCTACAATTCAAGACTTCCGAGATAAGTTTACAAATTGCTTTATACTATATTCTTGAACGAAACTTAATTAACGAATTCAATTCTGATTTAATCACATTGCATTAACATCTTTAATGTTTCATACCGACGACAAGTGCTAGGGTATACAATTTTAATCTATCAGCGCGGATACCATCGCAATTATTACCGATATCGATAAACGCTTCAGATAAAATTAATTGGATTTCCCAAAAACCACCAAATGGAGAGTATGACTCGGTCACAGATAACAGTTTACGCATGTTTTTTTATTATAACTTCAGACAATACGACAATGACATTGAATTGATATTAGTCATTCAGTGCAGGACCGTGACAAGACAAGGGCAAGAGGGGAACGTGCCCCTGGTGTGCTTACAGAGGCCTTTAAAATTAAAAAAAAGTATAATTAACAACATTAACACCTTACCGTCCGCATAATTCACATAAGAAACTCTGCATATGAAAGCAGGAAAATAGCATACATTGTTAACTTCTTAAAAATGATATTCAAATGAATGTAGTAGTTGTATATATCATACATATTCATATGTACCTACCCCAAAGGCGATGTGGATGACCTTTCTGAAAGTCTGCTTATCTGAACTATTTATTGATGTTACTAATAATGTCAATAATATTTGTACAGGCCAATCAACGTGGCATACCATGTACATAAATATTACACTCATAATTAAAAAAAGATCTTATCGTGCTATCGTGATATATTTGAAGGAAATCATATAAGTTTTAATTAACTACTGCGTATCGTAACGATTTACTTTCTACGTTAATTTCGTGTAATTAAATTCAGTAATATTACAATATAATGCACTACTACAGTACCCTGGAACTGTTCGTAACTGTACATAAAAAGGAAAACTATTTATACTTACTGGCATGCTCTTTGATTGGTTCCAGCAACATTTCAGGTACAATGGGGTCATCCAGCGCATTAATAAATACCATAGGCGTTGCAATGTTCTCAAGATAAAAAATAGAGCTACTCCATTTGTACATTTCCGTCACAGATCTGAAGTTATGCACCTGAACAAATTTACAAGGATGTAGAATGCGTAATTTTTTCTTCACGTTCAAATTTCATAAAGTACACAATAGATTTGTTATGATATACTATACCTTTCTCGTGTACGCTTCGTCGAGTTCCGGCAGTGTCGCTGCGGAAATGATGTCTCGTTCATTCAAATTATGCCTCTGTTTAATTTCCTCGGATAGTAATATATTCTTGTGCTTGAGGATAATATTCTTCACCGACTCCGACATTATGTAGAGGTAGAAACGTCGGAAGTTTTGCCAGTTAAGTAGGAACTTCGTACCTCTGAACAGAGATCATTCATAAATATCATTTACAAATGAGATGTACCGGCTACACAAGGCGAGATATCTAAAACAGGCTATCTGAATAATTTTCCTACTTGCAGCGGTAGAAAAAAAATATATTAAACCAATCTTGCTTGGTTCTAAGGGACCATTATTAAATTATTATTTATGTGACCTGTTTTAGGTAATTCACTCTGTATACACCACATACAGAGTATGAAATATAATATATATTTACTCGAGTGCATTATATCCTTGACAAATCGATATGCCTCCGATAATATTGGGTAATTTATTCGTGCCTCGTTCTCCCAAATACTTGGTTACCAGGTTACCGCCTAAGCTAAACCCGATGCAAATTATTCTTGTATTGGGGTGCTTCTCTAACAGGCTCTGTATCATTACGTTGTAATCGTTAGTGTGTCCTGCAAAGTTTAGGTTTGGTAGAAAGTTAATCACAAATTCAATTAACGCTTCGGTCGTAAAGCTAAGACGAGATCATTCGATTATTATTAATATCGCTTGGGGGTCTTCGATGCAAACTGTATCATTCCTGAATACCAACCAATGGAGACATTTCAATTTGAGTGACCAAGATAAAATTACTATCAGAGATGTATTTTAAAATAATAATTCCTTCAAATCGTATCATTAATCGAGTTATTATCTGATAACGCCGGGCAACATCAGGTTCTCAAGTGCTTTCGTATCTTGTGTAATCTTGTAGAGGAACGAATACTTTCAACGCCTAGGAATACTAATCCAACTATTCTTAGAAAACAGTTTCAATCGCGAAGCACGTTCCAGCTTCTTGTTTAATAATATTTTATGTGTATTGTATTCATGGATAGTAGGAGGGAGGGAAAACCTAAGGCTGGGGCGGTATATAGTTTAGCCACGCCACTGGTTGAATCAAGATGGATTGGTCGTTCAGAGTCGCTTAGGAATTATCTCCAACATATCAGGGGGGGTGGGGGCACCAAGCTTGGCAACGGAATACAAATAATTGTGCAAAACAATTATATTCCACTCTATTATGATCTCCATTTACGTACCGTAAGTAAATATTCGTGGAGCGGTGACTTTCACACTGGAAAGAACTCCGACGTGGTTAAGTACAGCGCATCGGTACCCGTGGCACTGTACAAAGTGCACGAAAGTTCTGATGTAGACGCTCTCGGAACTGTTGCAGATCCCGGGGCAAATGGCAATCGTAATATCATCTGCGGGAAAACGTGCGCGTTTGTATTATGATAAACGAATGTAAATAGGCGTGCTTTGTTTACTTCTTATTTTATACACAGTCATTTCCCTTTGATGCCCGCGAAGTTCCACGAGTATTTCGCCCGGACAATCAATCGCGATATTGTACTTGTAAGCAATATTCTTTTAACGAAATCCCAACTGTACGGTATCTCATAAATTATGCATTATATCGTATAAAGCATCCGTGGTTTGGAAGTTGTTGTCTCGGTATATTTCCATGCTACAGAATACATTCATCGAGACTTACATTCCTTGACCGATAGGGCGAATCAACGTTTGTTCGTTAAAATCATTGTATCTCGTTGATTACAGAATTGTAATTTATTGTTTCCTGGTAATTTACATAAATTTATTCCAAATTTTAACGCTTCTATCTTTCGATACTTACTTGGCACTGATAGTACGGTTATTTAATTTCGTTAAATTTATTGCTTCATTCAAAAATCTCTTTTGAAATATGTAAATATTTAGGTTCGTTTAAAATATCATAAATAATCACAAGAATTTCGACCCCATTAGCTCTCAGGCATCTTATTTGCTTCACAGTTAGTCTCTACATTCCTTTTACAAATTTGATGAAAGAAAAATGGCCTTTAAAATATTTTCTACCGTTTCAAAACAATTGTAGATATGCGGTTCGAGTGATAGTAGCGAAGCGCAAATCGGTCCCCGTGCCAAAACCGGTTTGACGTGTTTGAACAAAAAATTCCTAAAGAAACGCCGATTTTTTTCTATATTCGAGGTTAAAAGTCTCCTTTGATAGAAATAAAATATTACAGGAAGCATTTTTGTTTAATTCCACGTGTTTCCAAACCCCAGTTTGAGAAACACTGGATTAGAGGTTTCCATAAATCGTATAGAAGCTAAAGAAATAAACATTCTTTTCATATTTCTTTCGCAACGCATCGTTGCGATGCTTCAGTTACGATTGAGAAAACTGACCTTCGTAATCATTCGACAATGGTTGATAAAGATCATAAGTGAGAGTTGTATTATCCGGAAGTCCGATGTACACTCGTTCCCCAATCGGCCAAGGGCAACGGACGCGCCCAATAACACTATGAATGATGGTCTGTACGTGGCCACTGAAACCCCATAATCTTGTCGGTTTGTATCTGAAATGCATGAACAATATGATGTAATATTTCGTAACGTTACGCAATCCAAACTGGCAATATATATTAACTGTTATCGAATTGAGTACATTCCATATAGGATCGAAGCGTTATTGGGTCGAGTTAGAAGCAATTACCATTTTCTTATATCGTTCGTATTGCTCTTGAACAAAATTTACGATACAATTTGATCTAAAATGTATTCTCTTGATTCGGAATATCATTTTGTATTCTTTATTGGCTTCTAATAAAATCGGGGGTACACGAAAGGGTGAGGTGTGAGAAACACTGAGGTAAACAAGTGTTCGTACACCCAATAATGGGGCAAAGTGAATCATATTCAACACGACGTATAGCCTTATCTATTATAAACAGTGTTTCTTTCCTGTTTGACCTTGTATGGCCTCAAATATTGCAAGATTATATCGCGTTGAACTGAAACTACATATTTCCATAAGAAAAAAAACCAAACTGTAAAGCTACTTTCACACTTGAAAAACCATTGTGTCTACCGTATTTAGAGTGAGAAAGCTACGCATAAAAACGATCAAAAAATAATAAATAGGGCAAAGGGGCCCGGCGTGTTTGTAACATGTGTGCATTAGTGGGTTAATTATTGGTACGCGTCCCCCAGGGAGGATATCGCGTTTGAAGTAGTTTGAACGCCACGGCCACAGAGCAATTAAGTTTTTGACTTGCGCTCTAGTTTCACGTTAATGTGCAGATTTCGCCTGGAGTCGGGTTAACGCATTGTGTCGTAAAACAGTTGTTTACCGCGTGAAAGTGTGTCTCTCCTTCCGTAAAAATTTCCATGATTTATGCGATAGTAAATGTATCCCCACGAGTGGAAAGGAACATCGAACGTCGGTAACAGATTATTAAACCTCACTTTATGGCAGTGCGCAGAGTCAGAGTGGATCAGTGGAGCATAAGCGCGTGAAGGATTACTGACATTAAAATCACGTAAAATACACTTTTGCATTAGAAACACGATAGAAACGAACAGTTCGTCGGTTCGACTTTTCCTTGCAAAGGTTTCCCTTTGTTGGTAACTGGGTTTAAACTTCAGAAGCTACGCTCCATCATTTTTTTTTTTCTTTTTTTTTAACCTTTAAATAAACCGTGTTAGGAGACTACGATAACGGGAACAACAAGAGATAAGAAAGGACTATCTTCTGTTTTGTTTCGCGTAAAGTAGACCGGGTGTAAAATTTTACGATTTCTAGACGGCGTAGGCCACGTGACTTATGAATTTTCTCTATGCTGACCCGCACATTTTTTTGGTTTTCGAACGATTCGCTTCGCAAGTCACGTATGAATTGATTAATTAATCACCGCGCAGGCCGATAGTAGAAATTGCCACTCGAATTATCAAGTCGAAATTACCGAAATGGAAATGAAATTTTCCGCGGATGTGCTGACAAAATAAATATTCTCTTTGTAATATTTAGTAACGTTTCTGATTATCTAATAGCAAACTCCAAACTTTCTATGAACGGTGTATATTGATTTATTAGAATACTATTATCAAAATACCTTCTAAGAGTAGAATTTATCAAACTGAGTCATTACAGTTTAAATGAATCGTTTTACACATTTTTATGTTAATTGTTTCCTGCCCGATATCTTTAGCTGTTTGAGTAATAAAACAAATGGCTTTTAAAATTCTTTTTACTGTCCTAAAATAATTGTACGTTTGTGCCCCGCAACGCGATAGTAACATATAAATTGGCCCGCGGGCCAAAATAGGTTTGACATGTCTGCCTTAGGGCAACAGGTAGGTTAAAAATATAACGTAAAACCGTTTCTAGGACATAACACGGAGACTATGTTATGTACATTTGAATAACAAATTTCGTTAACATTTTTTTCCATTCTTAAAAGAAGCGTCGAAGCAAGACAATAATACAGAGCTCAATGACGTTTTACGAGCTTCGATATAGAGTAGTTAAATGAATAAATAAAATATAGGAATAATCGAAGATTCATAATGTCAAAAATCTGATACCTAAAATAGTAGTCTGTACACGAAGTGTTGATGCGTATGACCAGAGTTTCTGACATGCATTCTTAATAAGTCCTTCGTCCGGTTTGTAACTATACACATCTATAAGGAACTGGTTCAACCGAAGGCTGAATGGTTTGTTGCCTTACGTAGATATTTTTTTATCACATTTGAAGTTTTCAAATCGTATAACATTCGTTGAATATTATTAGAATATATGTATTAGAATGCATTCTCTTAGATATATTTTATAACCGCTACAATTTTGGCAAGCGCGTACCATTAATGATACAGTGAGCGAAAGTCTAAACGCACCTAAAGAAATATGATTTTTGGGACTATAAATTTTAAATTCAAATGAGGCGAACACAATAACGACAAAAAAATAAAAATATATTTATGTGCTATAGAAATTTACATGTTTATATTAAAGTAAACATATATATACATTTATTTATTTATACAGTCTTATTCTCTGTGCGAAATTCGTATAAACGAACAGAAAGAAAGAACGAAATAAAACTAAACTTATATTATAATTATAAATTTACTATTTTGTATGACCTCCATTATTTTGAATCAACGCAAAAATTCAACTCGTCATTGAATTTATGAGATTATTTATTATGGTAATAGGAATCTTTTCCCAGGAATGTTTAACTTCTTCCTTCAAAGCAGCAATATCGGTGAATTGGCGGCCATTTGCAAATACAGGGTGTTCAACCACCCATGGGAAAAATTTTAATGCGGTATTCTAGAGGCCAAAATACGACGAAAATCAAAAATACCAATTTGTTCATGGAGGCTTCGTTAAAAAGCTATTAACGTTTAAAGTTCCACCCATACTGAATTTTTTTCTCGAAAATGCGCAGGATTTCGGGGATATGTCTATTCACCAAAAATGACTGTAACTTACCCCCACAACTGAAAATAATTTTTTTTGGAACGATTTGACAAATTTTTTTTATCGAAAAATTTCTGCACCTACTCGATTTTTTTTTTTAAAGTGGGTAGGATTTCGAAGGTATGTGTATTCACCAAAAATGATTATAATTGACCCCCGCAACCGAAAATAATTTTTCCAAAACGATTTGAAATTTTTTAATTTAATTGTTAATAAGTTTTTAACGAAGCCTCAGTCAAGAAATTGATATTCTTGATTTTCGTCTTATTTTGGCCCCTAGAATCTTCCATTAAAATTTTTCTCAGGGGTGGCCGAACACCCTGTACAAGTCAAACAAATTGAAACATAGGAATGTTGACAATTGAAGCCATGTAAACAAAACAAAGCTTTCTGACAACGTTGCCAGTTCTCTATTTTCAAATAAGAGGAAAAATTCGTAAAATTTGAAGTGCGTTTATACGAATTTCGCTCACTGTATCAATGCATACAAAATTTTCTTTTAGAGCTTATCGTGCGTCTCGTTCGTAATAAAAAAAATTAATTCGAAATGCCATCTCTTCTATGACAAGGTGAACGTAACCCTTAACATGGCTTTTGTAGACGACGAAGAAACGAATTCAAACGACAGAGTATAATGCAATCTAGATACGATCTTGATCTTCAGACCACAGAGGAACATTTAACACGTCCAACATCGATGTGTGCGTTGTGCAACGACACGATAGACGTTCGTCCGGAAATTTTCTTGTGTGCAACATTCGCGCTCGTTCATCATCTTTTCATACGCGCCGCAAAGTGATAATCGTGTCGAGTTCCTCCTGCGTCTGTGTAGAGTACTTTATATAACCGCGATCGGTTTAGATTCAAAGATCCGAAAAACTGGCGCGCAGTTTTCTCGTTCGAAATAAAAACCATGATTAGCGCAACGCTTACGAAGCGTTCATAAACGAGGAAAGATAAATTAACGACGACGATAAATCGTGTTGTTTCCAAGTGAAAACAAAAATAAGGGTGCCATGGTTATAAAATGTTTACTTTGAAGTAAATAAAAAAAAAACTCGAACATCGAGTCGAAACGTTTGAATCGGTTATATAAATGTGCTTGTATAATACTGAAAATTCTAGAATATTTTAAAATATATAAAATTTTTAAACCAACGTGCGGAGTGAAACTCTTTCTCATGAATTTTCAATTTACAATGCGATCTGCAAGCTCTTAGAACTTCCTACAAGTTGATAGAAAAGTAGTATAATTTTCCATGCGATATAACGAATTTGCCATCAAAACATTTTCACGGTGACAACGACAGGAAAATGCAACGATTATTTATGCATAGAGTAATAACACTAGTTTTTAATTATGAACGGTATCGCCATTATCGCCCCGGACGTTTCCTTGACTCGGTTTACGCTCGATGTAAACGTAGACTTTTGTATCTTTCATATGCTCTTACAGCAGCTATAGCCATTCACAGTCATGGTCAGGGCACAATCGATCAAAAGTGAGCATTCAGCTTGTTTTTCCTTTTGCGCTGCGTTACGGTAATGGATCACGTGACATTTCCGTTGCATTCCATAACCGCCGTCCGATAGAATTGGGGGGAGGAAAAGGAATAACCCAGTATTCGTACAAATAAATAAATTGTAAAGCTAGACATGTACGTAATTTTAAAACTTCTTCCATGATCGTGCAAATAAAACATTTGATCTATTTAAAATAGAAAGAAAATGAACTTACTCGCAGCTTCTCTGCCGGGTAGTTATTCGTTTGGCAAGGTTTCATTTTCGCACTGGCTTTCGATTGTCGCAAAATGATAAGTTACGCGACAACGACTGGTTGAATGTGACTCTACTGCGCCAGGTGCAATTAGAAAAAGGGACTTCATTCTTTTTGCGGAAGTAAAAGCGAAAGCATCGAGATTGCTAGGAAACGATCGCTCACTAAATACAGGAAGTCTCTTTATGGAATCGTATTAGCTAAATTGTCAGGAATTATTCAATATCGATACGCGTGATGTTAACAATTGTGTGAGAAAGGTTATGCACTTATGATAACAATGTCTAGAAAAGTGTAGAAATTATAATATCGAGTGCCGTCTACGAAACAGCTGTAAAAAATCGATATTAGCAAACGAGCATGAGTCAGACATTTTAGGTTGAATTTGTCACATTGAAAGATAACGTAGTGTTAGTCACCATCTTTCGATACCATGATGCAGGCTTGTACAATGAGGTCATAGCCAAGAACAGAAAAAATCATGCAATTCCCGAAATGGAAGAATAATGTGGATGATAGGTTGGCTACCTTATCCAATCTGTATCGTTTGTTGATTTGCGTGAGGTATTACGAAAAATGGGCTCTTTTAAACGAATACCTTTTCGAATGAAAACACGAGGTGATTTATAAAGATAAGAAATGGGATAATAATATTTATCACAGACAAGTGAGTGGTGTGATCGTAAACCAGCAATTGAAGTGATAGCAAACGAGTGTGACCAATTAAACTCGCCGTAGAAATCTATTTTTAGGACACATCTTTTTCGAAAGAACGCCCTAATTTAAACTCAAAAAAGAGATTAATAAAAATTACGCTTCTTTTATATTTCATAAAAAAGAAATGCTGTAAAAATTATTTTACAAATTTTGTCTAATATGCGCTTTACTGTCATAGATACTTCAAACTACAGATTAATTCGCAACAGTTCTTACAAATAATTATATTATAAATTGCTTAACATTTTTCAGAATGATTTACCATACATCGCGTTCGAGTTTCGACTACCCGTGCAAAAGATAAAACACAACGTAAACATTACGTTGAGGTATTTGAAGATTAGTATTATACTCCGTCGCGTTGACAATTACATTTTTTACGTCGCATATCTCGAGACAAATTTAGAAAAACTGATAGGGTTACTGACGTCCACTAGTGAAAACTAGATCACACCCATGCGATCATTAATACGCCTTTCGATCGTTTCTGGCAGTTTTCACGGATACTATCGATTTTCGACAAAACGTTTCCCAACGCCGTTTTCGTCATAAGAAACGAAACGTGTATAACGCGTACGAGTTACCAATCGACGAAAGGCTGCCGCTTTTACTCGCAGTTGAGTAAAATTTATCTGTAGATAGGCATGTACAAAAAATATCCGGCGTCCTGGAGCAACCTAACCTCACTTTCGTTCTCTCGACGTAATACAAAAGATGGGATTTATACGTATCAGTAACATGCGTATGGTCGAAGAAACGAATGTAAAAGAAAACGAAAACTTACGGTTCCACAATGACCGGTGCGATCTTAAGAATCGTGGTAAAAAACGTTTGATCCTGACAAACGATCAACGGCTTCTGCGGCGCACTGTTTACGTTTAATATCCTGAACAGGATGCATAGGATCACGGCGAACACAGCGAGAAGCGCCGTAGACATTTTTCTTTGAGTCTCGTCTGTCGAGACGGATCCTCTATTTTGTTCGCGTGTCTCTTACGGTGCTAAGATCACGGGAATCGATGTGCGAAAAGAAGCGTAGAACTGCACCGAGCGACGTGCACTCGGGAATTACGAAGGGGCCCCGATTACCTCTCACCCGTGCACGGAAACAAGATACTCGTGACTGGACAGTGCACGACTGTTACGCGTTTGTTTTACCGGCACTTCGTAACGGTCGATTTGCGCGTGCCTATCAATAGTTAAGTTCGCGAAACCTCCATCTGTCCGCGCTGCTCGAAATTTCAATACAAATGGTGAGAGTAAGAGGGATGAAGAAAGGAGTGGGGGTAAAGAAAGAGAGAGAGAGGGAGAGAGAGGGAGGGAGAATATGGGCACACGATTAGAGGTGAAATTTTTAGATGACCATGTCTCGAATACAGGCCATGGAAGAGTCCATGGGGCAGTAGATACATACGTCATTCGCGCTTACCAGTATTCAGAATCCTTTGGTATTCTTCGAATCTTTATAACGTTTCTTTCTTTCGCATACGCACGGAGTTCTACTCTCTCTCTCGTTCGCCTGCCAATTATAATGTACAGCCGCGTGTTAAATTTATTTCACGATTACCAGTTCCACAATTGTGTCCATCGAAAAAGAAAAATGGTTAATAGCCGAACGATTCCTTAATTATACCTGTTACGTTAGTCACTGTCCTTTGTATTGTTTACGCAATTAATTATTAACACGAAGGTCAGGAATATAATTGAACGAAGTCGATCGCAATTTCGAGGCGAAGCATTTCCATGCGCTTTTGAAATCGGGGCACGTTCGAATCTACCTCGAGATTACGGATTCCTCGAGAAAGAAATCAGAGATACGTATGTCGTGTCCCTGTGTCAGTGACCTGTAATTTCACGCGAGTATTTCGAAAGAATGCTTCAGGACGTTGCTAAGATCAAGGCCATTCGATCTATTCGCGTAATCGATATTTCGATAGTTGCTCGATTTGAAAACGAGTTTCTGCAGATCGAACGAGCGACCTTAAAGTCTACTCCGACTCAGTTTTTAAGACAATGTCGTACACGAAGATCGTTAATCAATTTAAGTATATACTTAAACACGTTTCATATATTTAGAAATATTATAAGATAGTTACAGTTCGTGTTTTCATTTATAACGCGTGTAGTAGATATTTCTAGTGAAATCTGTGAAGTTTGATTGTTTCGATCCACAACGAAAGTTCTTTCGTTTATCATAATTGCATTACGCCCTAGTAATGGAAGGGTGCGCAGAAAAACTGGGACTTTGAACTTTAATTTAATTCTGACTAAAGTGTACCGTGCCGTATCGTAGAAATACTTGCGTGCATATTTATTCCTTCTTGCGAGAAATAAAACTGAAATTATTGATATAACTTCAAAACGTGGCAACGATTATTGAAATAACCGACTGCGTTAGCAACCACTGCGAATATAAGCGCGATGATATAAGAATTTCACCATTCTTTACGTTCTAAGTCGGTTAGAAAGATGCGAGGAAAGGGTAAAAAGAAAAACGCCAAAAATAACGGTAAAAATGGGAAAAACGGTAAAAATAATGGCGGCGGTAAAAGCAAGGGAACAAAAAGATCGCGGAAAAGTGGTGGAAGGGCAAAATTTTCGATGGACATCTTCAATGAGGAAGTCATGGAAAATGCTTACTACACTTGTCATAATATTATGGATGTACTAAAATGCAGAGGGTTTCCATGGCCAGAGGCTCAGAAAAAGAAAAAGAAGAAGGGAAGGAAGTGAACGAATATTTCGAATAATTCAGATATTATTAAGAGAAGGTACTGGGCAACATATATATTTCCATATAATTAGTTGCATTTCAAATATTTTGCAAAAATATATAAATTATGTTTTACGTAACTGTCTAACTCTGTTGTACACATTTTGGTATTGTGTAATACTTAAATATATAAACATCTTTAACAGTTAATCGTCATCTACATTTTCTCTCCCCATTCTTTCCATAAGGTGCTTACAGTATTCATTCATGTCAAATTCCGTATGGTTTACCATAAATGGGCCATTAAATACGCAATGCACTGTTACAGTTTCTGAGTATTCTAGGTCAGGTACCAACTAAATAAAAATAAATTTCATATACTAGTTAGAAATATACTTTCACGGAATAAAAAGTACGAAATGTATACCAACTTTTGGCGTGAGTAGGAAGTATTGAGAACTGTTTCGTCTTCCTGTCATTTGTACAAGTAAATTAAATATGCGTCTTTCGTTCGCTGCATCCATTCCCTGCAAAGAAACAAGTTATTTAAACACACACAGTCATAATTATTTGTAGTGAAAATTACCTGATTAATTTCATCCACACATCGAAAAGGTACTCTTGACAATTCTTGAAGCGAAATCATGTAAATTGCGGTGGTTACAGCTCTTTCTCCACCACTTTGATGATGTCTTGTTAGTTCTTGTAATTGATCGGTATCTCTAAATTTTACCCTGATTTTTATACCATACTGATCAAAATCCATCTACAAGTATGCATTAATTTCGCAATAGCTTTTTAAATAATAAAAATACGATCTAGCTTTACTTCAGGATGACTCACAGTATTTTCTGCTTGCGCTAATGTAACTTCACCCGCACAACCCATTGCTGCGAAGTATGTACTAAAATTTGAATTTATTTTCTTAATGATATTTAACAACGGTTTTAACCATTCTTCCTGCAATGCTTCCATCTGCTGCGTCGTTGTTTCTACATCCTGTATCTTCTTTTGAACAAAATCTTTCAAATTACGAATTTCTGTTTCCACTTTCTCATATTCGTGCAATATCTGACATAAAAATACGCAATTAATCATCGTATTAACCATTCATTAGATTCAAAACTTACTTAGATATTTATATAATACTAACATTTTCACCATCCGTATCATGCCCCATACAAAAAACTTTTGCTTGTGCAATATTTAATTCTTTATTAATGTCTTCGAGAGTTGGTGGTAATTTATTAAAAACTTTGTTTATTGGCGCGAACGCCTTCTCTTTTGGGCTAATACCATTAGTAGTTTCTAATGCATCTGCATACATTCTTTGCACTTCATTTTTCATAGATTGCATTTCCGAGTTAAGTCGCTTTATTGTATCTTCCGCTGCTTTAAATTTCTCTCTTAAATCTTGAGACTCATGTACTTTCAATCTTAAGAATCGATTCTGCAATTTTAACGCCAATTCGACTTGTTGGTTAGTTGTAATATATTTAGAACATTCTTCTAGTTCAACATTATACTTTTCATAAACGTCCAATTGTTTATTCAATATCACCTAGAGAATTGATATATTTTAATTTTTAAATGAAAACTGATATGCATTTATTATTTTGCTTTGGATAATAGGAAAAGTGAAACCTTTATTTCATTAGTATAAGACTCTTTTATTTGTTCAATACTGGTTCGTTCATTTTCTAAATTTATGAGTTTTTGCTGAACCATAGATATTCTAGATTTCAAAAGTTGTATTTGTTGAAGATCTTGATGAACTTTATTTTTATTAGCCCTATGTTTGTCTAATTCTTTATTTTGTCCGCATATCTGTTCTTCGATTTGTTCTATATTTTTGAAAACGCTACTTTTTCTTTCTCGTAATAATTTTATCTTCTCGTCAATCTTCAATAATTTTGATTGATCTAAGACAATAGATAACATTCTTGTACTGAATACCTGTTGCATACTAATCGATTTTTGTCCTGTATATTTTGATGTACTGACCGAATAATTGTTTGTTTCTGAAAATATAAAGGAAGACATGCTAGTAATTTTAATTACTTAATAAAGCAATACAAACATACATTCATTCTACTTACTGCTAAAATAACAACGTATAGTAGAAGGTATACGATCCATATTATTATCAACAAGAGTAGTTCCTATTGGTATATTGTTTAAATTATACATATTTACTAAATATTTCATGATAGTAGGTGGTGCTTCGATCAGTGATACTAAGTAATGAGTAAAACCAAAGGCTTTAATATTTTCCAAAGGAATAGTTGGTACCATGGAAACCCTTTTTGTAGGATCAGAATGTACAGCATTTACTTGTAGTTTCTGCTTGTCTCTTAAATGGTGTAGTAATATGTTCATATCTTGTTTATTTTCACAAACGAATGCAATTAAATCACGAAACGCGATAACATTTTCCAAATACATCGCGTATGAAGCATTTTTTACGTTTATGTTAAGTAGTATTGGTTCGTGCACTACTCCAGAGAATTTATCTTGGTTTTCTCTTAACCAGTGCACTGCTTTATAGGTATCGATACTTCTTCTTCTCAAAAGTTCTAATCGTTTAGCTTCGATATTAAGAACTTGCCGTTCCGTTTCTTGAACTATAAATTTAATGTTACTATATAATTCACAATAATTCATAATACCTTACAGATCAGTCCCGAAGCTAAAAATGGATAGCATGCATTAGCAAGCCCTTTTCCTTTTAACCCTTTTAAATTTTAGAACGATCGACCGCGAGTGCCATTCGAAGAAATAATCTTTAATTTGATCAAAATTATAATTACAATATGATTGCACAATTTTGTATAGAGATACATACTGATATATTTTATTATATTTTAATAGTAGCAAAAATGTCTTTAATAACCTATTAATAGGGCCCAAATCCGTGCTAATGCACCATATTAGAAGTAAAAAATTTACCTCTAATTTCGAAATGTATGCGCTCCTCTTCTTGTTTTAATGCCACGTTTTTACTTGTTAACATATTAATAATACCCCTCTGCTCTTCTATTTTGGATACTGTTTCTTGCTGTTGTTTTTTTAAAGTTTCCTCTATAAAATAAATGTTTAGAAAATATACAGGTATCTCTCGAGTTACGCGGAAAAAAATTGCTGCAATGCTCGAGTTACGCGGTTTTGGAGCAATTTTATTTAAAAAAAAAAAATATATACGTAATTATAGATGAATGTTTTTAAATGAAAAAACGCGGATACCTGTACCACTTTGAAGTATTATAATCTAAATTAAAACATAAAACTCACCAGATCCAATATCTTTCAACATGAGAGACAAATCATTGTCAAGTTTGTATTTTTGTAGCTTTGCAACATCAATATCATGGTTTCTGGTTTCTTCAATTTGAATTCTCTGCTTGCACTTGTTTCCACAATCTCTGATATTATTTTCACAATCCAAAATATCATCTAACAGCTTTTTATGTTTTGCAACTTTCATGTTAATTTTATTATTCTAAAAGTATATGACATTCAAGAAACTGATTTCACTTATAGTTTATTTTTTATTCAAAAGTCTATAAACTCACATTATCCGTTACAGAATTCTGGAGTACTTTAATTTCTGATTTTGTCTTTTCTATTAAATCGCATGTAGGTTTCATTTCAGTTTCTAAAGACGTCATTTCTGCTGCTGCTGTTTCTTTTTCCTGTTTTAGCTATAAGTATATATCATTATTGGAAAATTATAATTTTAAAAATAGTATTGGAGTATTTAAAATTTGTTAAAAAATTTTGTATTTTTACTTGAAGTAGTTCTTTGCGTTTGTGATCATACAATATCCATGCCTTTTTCTGTTTCAATCTCACAATTTTCTTTTTAATTAATTTCCTTTCTTTTATGCTACTAACACTTTCTTTCATGCCTTCATATATCTGAGTTTTCGATGCTAATAATTTTTGTTTCTGGGCTATCTGTACCTCTAGGTCTTTATGTTCTGATCTGTACTGTATTAACTGTTTGTGATGTTCAATAATCATAGGATCACCAACTGATCTTTCTGTATTTTCTAACAATTCTTGTGCATTCATTTTTGAAAAGTCTTGCACTTTGTCTTGTGGAAGAAATTGACAAAGATTATCTATCTGAAAATGAAAATTACAATAAATTTTAAGCTACATTTATATAAATTATTTTTAAATACCTGAATATCAAAAGTTTTTGTTAAATCTTGTATTTCTTTTATGGTTGATTGTTTTTGATTGAGCAACCATGATGATTTTCCTTGTATATTAAATTTTCTAGTAATAACGATATCTTTGTTTCCATCATTCTTAAGATGAATTGTAATTGTTGCTTCTTCACAACCTGCTTTTACATAGTCTGCAATTTGAGTTGCACGTCCAATGGTAGAAAGTTTACCTCCCAATCCAAGAACAATTGCACAAACAATCGTTGATTTTCCAGTGCCATTGGGACCAATAATTACATTTAAATATCTCCCAGGTTTTATAACGACTTCATTGTATGTTCTGCAATAAAACAAATAAGTATTACATATATAACTATTTAGTGATGTTAAAAAAATGAATACAAAATACTAAGATGTAGTACTGACACAAAGTTTGCTAAGTAAATATAAGTAATTATTCCTTTTTCAATGGAACTATTACTCATGATGTACTTTTGTGTAATGCATTTAAATGCAGTACAGTTATTTCCCTGTTTAAATATTACGTTAATTCGATGTATTTTCAGAGAATTCTCGCGGCCGTTACGCGCCACAATACGAGTTATCGTTCTAAGAAAAGAAGGCACAGCCGGGCACAACGTCAACACGTGTTTACATCCCCACTCTTGCTGCAGTTCGCTGATTGGCTGTCACCGATCTTCGTCATCGTTTTCGACCAATACCTGTGAGTCAGCGGACTGCAACAGAAGTGGAGATGTAAACACGATGTGCTTTCTGTTCATGGAAAAATGATAGGAAAGCCACGATTCTAGGGCCCTTTTCAAAAAGTCATGCGATCGACCAAGTAACGTTCAATTTCGAACATGCGTTTCGACGCACGTATAGATGTGGCGACACCGTCGCGGCCGCGGAGCCAGAAGCAGGAGCTGCGGTCGCGCCCTCTTTTTGCGCTTGCAAGGGAGTCAACGGTTAAAAACAGTAGCCGCATCTGGTAGTATTGCAATTGTTAATCAATCGACTTTTGTTCGTAGAAGACCTGATTGCTACGCGAAAAAACCTCCGTAGAATTATTCCGAGCTCGCCACATGTCGCGAAAGCATCATCCGCTTCGTCACGATCTCAAGCTCTGTATTTTACTGTTTTCCGCTATTCGTTTTCGTTATCCGTTTCCGTTGTTCGTTATCATTAATGTTACTCGTTTGTTCGTTAATTGTTATACGTTTAATTGTTGTTTGTTACTTGTTAGGCATTGTTGTGGTTGTAGAAATAAACATTTTATTTGTTATCTGTCTTGTGTGTGTTCGTACCTCCCGCCTTTCGCGCCCGTCCTCACGCGATCTAGAGAAATAGTGGCGGCCTAGAGACGCGACATGTATATCTATAAATGCACTATACTATATGTATATGTATATAGGTAAATGTATTGTATAATTAAGAGTCATAAGTATTTCTCAAATTCTTTATGTGAATAGAAAGATATAAAATATATATAATACAATGTAAGTAAAATCGCTATATCTAGTAACAATGCAGTAAGCAACAGGAAATTGATAAAATAATCTACGCACGATATACATTGACGTAAAATATAACAATCTTAAGGACATACATATATACTTGAGAATATAACAGTAAAAAATTTTGATAATAAGATATGAAAATAATGCAGTACATGCTGATGTAACCATGCGATAAAAATAGATACAACCGATAAAATAATTTATTTCGAATTCTCTCTATCGATTAATTCTAATTGGCTTAATGTAGCCGTTAATGCATCGCTTGAAAATTTGCAATGTAATATTCGTTGCAATCATACGAGACCTTTACGATCAAATTATGGTAATAGGAAAACGTGTTTCCATCGTCGAATGATGGTTCTTCTCATTTTAATCGAATTAGATCCATAAAAATGATTAAATATCATCACTTTACGTCCCACGTTGGCATAATAATCATACTCCATTGGCATTATATTATTTTGCGCTCCACGTCCGCCTTCGACATTCAACTTTTTCACAGTCTTGAACTTCCGGTGCTCGGAACTATTTAGTAGGAAAGAAAACCTTTTAAGTAGAACGCAAATTTTGTATGTAAAATTAAGTTACTTTCGCTCTAAAATAGTAAATCTCAGTTTGCGAGTAAAACTTAAAATCAGCGTGGCCGTTATTTTAGACAAAACAGTTGTCAAATGTCTGGTCGATCAATGAAGGTCAAGAAATCCATAATTCATCAAATATGGAGACTACCTTGGGCCGTAAATTTCAAATTGTTGTTACACTTTTACGTTTGGCTTCTTCGCTTCTTCGGTTATTTACCTTGTAAGATCGAATCGTCCGGGTACGTGTTCTCCAGGATACAGTTCATTTGGTCCACGTTCGTGATAACTGTTCATTCGAGTTCCATTATCTACAGCATATACCAGCTCAATGCGATCGACTTTAATTTCGATCGCTTATCCGTACAAGTGCATTGTTACATGATTATAGGTTTCGGTTTCATGAACATTTGTTCGGGTTATGCTTCAAGCCGAACGAAATTAAAAGTGCTTCAGAGAGTGTTTAATTTGGCTCAATCATTATCTTCGGAAACTTTCTACAAAACGATGAAATGGGCATTACTAAACGATGCAATAAAATATCTTCCACTACTTCTCTTCCTAAAGTACATATTCATGGGAACAGTGATAATCAATTTAACTATTTGGTACTTGTTCTTAGTGACCGCGACATTGAACTCGTTGTACGTGAGCAACGTTCGCGTGGTGAAAGCGAGTTTCTGGGAGATAAACGAGTCTCTCATCAAATTGAGAGGAACTCTGATCAACGACGAACCCCATCTCCTAAGGAGGGTATATCACACGCAGAAAAATTCTATGCTACTCGCGGAAGTAAGAACCTTGAAGAGACAACATTTAGAGATCAGCGCTGTTGTTCAGCTAATAAACCAAGTGTTCAGCGAGGAGGTTATCGGCACGATTGCATTGACGTTGGTCGATATCACGTTTAATCTGTACTTTTGTTTAATGGTCGAATACAGCGAGGACCCACAGGTATGGTGGTCCTTGCAGTTGGTGTGCGTGGTGTTTTATTTTTTGAACTTGGTCGTAATGGTTTGGGCATGCGAGACTGCCATGGACCAAGCGAAAAAGGTTGTTTCCAACATTCATCGAACTCTCGTAATCATTTTCGACGAAAAATTGACCACGGAAGTAAGGCAAAACGATCGAGTAGATTCGAAATCAGTTAGCCGTCCGAGACTATTATCTACATGCTATGATACAACGGGGGTTGCTATAGTGGCTTACTACTTTAAAACTTTGATATTTTCAATTTTATCTACAATTTGAACTAGAATGGGCGGCCAACTGAATTTGATCTATGCGTAAAAACGCAATAAAAATTGAAGAATATTTTTAATTAGTGTCCCGCTTTCTCCATTCTTGGATAGTTGGAATTATTCTCCGTGCAAGTTTTACAACAGGACAACACGTTCTCCGCAAAGGGGCTTATGATAGATGCAACCCTGTTGACAAAGGTAAATCTAGAGAACGTTGTCGTTGAACCGCGATTTTGCATTGTAAGTTTATTTACAGGTAGTAAGCACGATTACAACTTATCTATTGATATTGATACAATTCCTCCTCGTCAAACCTTGTTAATGGAAGACTCGTGGTATCCAGGATAGGAAAATACCACGATGGTTTCGACGATTGCAGTTTAATTTACTTATCTTTATCGCAAAGAATTAATTAACATGGACGACTCGAGGGATGTATATTTTCGAAATAAATTATAAACAGACAAGATCAAGTAAATTTCATTAAGTTAAAAGTTCTCTCGACGCGTCAACGTCGACGATTTAATGCGATAAACTTCGTTGTGGGCCACTGTCCGATGGTTAAGTGACGTACATTTTCGCATTGTTTATTCACGATCATCCTACACTTTCATATTGTATTATCTTTCTGGGATCGTAAACCATTGGAAAAGCATTTCGAGTGGTCTGCATTGTTGATCGTGGATTATTACATTAGATGATTCGTTTTCAAATGCGTAAATGTCCATGAATAAACGAAAAGGCAATTAGTTTATTTGGATTCCTACTATCAAGTTATTTCGCGTCGCATGCCATCGGTTAGTTTGTGTGAAACGTGCTCAGTCGAAAGGAGGCTCGATTTTCGATCGAGACACAGTTTTCGTGTTTAATATCGAACGATGATTGGAAATGTATCGAAAATTGAAAATTTGCAATTTCGCAAAACATGGAGGCCATTGCACGTCACAGACTTCGATTCGTTAATGTATCCTAATTTCTGCATGAATCTCGTCTTTGGATGTTTTCCCTACAAGTATAAATCGTCCAAATACATATTCTCAAGAATACGATTCGTCTACTCCATGCTCACATTAATCACTTTCATAATTATGTTGTTCGTTACAATTTATCAATTAAATTTTGGCGTTTTAGTGTACCACAAAACACCCGTTATAATGCTCGCTAATTTTTCTCTAACCTTGGGTGGATTCAACTTCGTAGTAATGCGCATACTTACCCGTTCGACGTTGTGTGTTCTTCAGAACATCTCCGAAACATCCCAGATATTATCATCGAAAGATTTCAACGAGCTCGCGAAAATTATTCACACGAAGGACATTCTTGGCTTCCTATTTCTGATCGTCCACTTACCTAATTGTTTTCGAGCGAACGTTTACTTAACTGTGCGAGAACTCACAGTTTTTTATCTCCTTATGGCGTCCTTTTCATTGGAAATGTTGTACATGAACTGCGTGTGTGTTCTGAAAGCTTGCTTCAGAAAAGTAAACGAAAATCTTGAACAAATAGACAAATCTCTGACAAAAGATATAGATTATACGGAAACACAATGGGTGGAAAAAAGTCCACGCGACGTACAAAGGAATACCATGTTGTTAATGAAGGTGAAAAGCTTGGAGGAGAAACACTTGCGTCTCAGCGACGTTGTTCAATTATTAAATAAAACGTTTCTCATACATATTATCACCTTGTCAATTTTGACGTTCGTCAACGTCACTTTCAATCTGTACTATTACATTCTATGGATAAATAATGGTTTACCATCGGATTTGGCAAAACAAATATGGTATTTTCAATTCCTCACAAGTGTGTTCTACTTCATGATCAAATTCATGATGTCGATTTGGGCCTGTGAAACCGCGAAAAATCAGGCGCTAGCAATTGGTATCACCGTTCATAATGCTCTCAGCAATGCTAATGATACGTTGGTGCAACACGAGGTAATTATTCAAAGATATTAACGCCACTAACAAGCAACATCAGCCAATTGACTATTTTTCTTCGCTTGTCGAATGTGAATAGCAGAGGAGAAGAACAAATACGTGTTTTTCGATGTTCTATCCATGTAAAACTAAAATCGACGATTGTCAATTGGGTGGTGTTCCCAGAACCTGTGTACATATATCTTTACCACTTACTTACAATTTACTCGTAAAATAACAGTTGACGCTATTTTCTCTTCAAATATTGCAACAAGACAATACATTCTCTGCAAGAGTGGTCACAATGAACGCAGCACTTCTTATGCAGGTGAGATTGCAGATTGAATATTTTCCGATACTCCCGTTCGGTTAAATTTCGAAATTCATGGGGTCCTTATAGTACTGTGATGATTTATCGTTTGTTTGTAGATCATGGGAGGTGTTGTGATGTATCTTTTGATATTATTCCAATTTTTGCTCAACGCCATAGCTTGTAAAGATCCGGATTGACAATTTTGCCGAAGTTACATGTTTTTATGCAGCTGATAACGATCGTCGAGCGCATTTACAAAATTACTTATAAGCAACGAGTGTAAGTGTGACGAATAAATGGCGAGACTCAAACAACATTGTTAATTGCGTCACCTTAAATAATGTGTCTTTTTGGGATAAACGAACCGATGTCGCGTAACTTTCATTAAGATAAAAGCACTTTCATCGCGTCTACGTCGACATCATATCCTACGTCGTCAGATAAAGTCACAATTTCCTATTATTTTTTTACGAACATCGTACACTTTGAAATTGTACTTCCAAGTCCTGTAAATTATTATAACTGTCCTTCGCCTACGATTATACACTATCACATTAAGTGGTTTGTTTTAAATAAACGAAAAATCGATGAATTGAACGTTCGTCGGTCAAATTGCATGAAAACGTGGTCAGTCGTAAGAAGGCTCGATCCTTGATCGAGACACAGTGCTCGAGTTTAACATCGAACAATGATCAAAAAGTTAGAGAAGATCGAAAGTTTCAACGGTCGCAAAACATGGAAGCTATTTCACGCCACGGACTTCGACTCGCTGATGTACCCTAATTTCTGTATCAGTCTCGCCCTTGGACTTTTCCCTTACAAGTGGGAATCGACCAGATACGTATTATCGAGAAAACGCTTCGTCTGTTCCGTGGCCACGATTCCTATTTTGGTTGGGCTCATGCTATTTCTATTATACGAAATGAACTTTGGCAATTTGTCGTACTCTGCACTAACCTCGAAAATCGACACGAATTTTGTTTTAATCTTCTACGTTATGGCGACAGTGGTGATGCAGTGTTGTAGTCTTTCGAGGCTGCACGTTATTAAAAATCTCTTGGAAGCGTCCCAGATATTATCACCCAAAGATTTCAACGATCTCGCTAAACTCTTTCACACGAAGGACATTCTTGGCTTCCTATTTTTAGCCATTCACTTACCGAATTGTTTCAAAGGGAATGCCTACGTTACTGCGCGACATCTCACTTTTTTATATTTAATGATAGTGAATTTTTTGTTGGACATGTCTTACATGAATTGTGTATGCGTCCTGAAAGCTTGCTTCAAAAAAGTGAACGAATGCCTCGAACAATTGAATAAATCTTCAACGAATGATGTATCTGTTTCGGAAATACCATGGGTGGAGAAAGCCCCAGGAAACAAACACAGGAATACTCTGTTGCTGACGAAGTTGAAAAGTTTGTTGGAGAAACATCTGCAGATCAGTGACGTTGTTCAATTGTTGAATAATACGTTTCTCGTAAAGATTGTTACCTTGGTCATCACGACGTTCATCATTGTCACATTTAACTCGTACTTTGTTATTCTTAGGATGTACAGAAGTTTTGGTCAGCATCTGCAGCCACAGTTTTGGTACATACAATTTCTTTCAAGCATATTGTACGAAATGAGCAAATTCATGATGTTAATTTGGGCCTGTGAAACTGCGAAAAACGAAGCACTGAAAATTGGTACTACCGTTCACGATGCCCGCAGCAATACTACTGATACGTTGATGAAACACGAGGTAATCATATAGGGTTAACAATGATAGAGATCAGACTACTGATATCATTAATAAGGTACATAATCCAATTGTCAATCTTCGATTCTAACTTGGTAGTGAAACGTAGATATTAAGAGTATCGATATCTTTTCGATACTTCTATGAATGTATCTTGCAGTGTTCTGTTCGCGTGCCAAGGCTCATAAAAATCGGAGACTGTCAATTGGCATTGTGCCACATAAGACTGATGGACTTGTTTACAACCTATTGACAGGCAATTCACAAATTTATAGTTGGAGCTATTTCCACTTCAAGTGCTGCAACGGGACAACACGTTCTCCGCGAGAGCAGTTACGATGAACGCAGCGCTTCTTACGCAGGTAAAACGAAGAGTATTGCAGAGTAATCGGATGACGTTTACAAGAGAATCACACAAGAACAGAGAATTATGAATTAAAATCGTAATTGTCCACTGATATGGAAAGAGAACGTTACTTTCAGAGAATCTCGTCTTGCAGGACAAAGTATTGTGCAGAGCTGGAAAGACGATTAGTTTTTATTTTTCAGTACATAATAAGCAATTAACCCTCTAGGATTCCGGCCAAGCAGGGTCAACTACTTATTAAGTTCTGAATTTTTTCTTCGCCTGATTCTCTTGTACGTAAAAATTTATCATAATCACAGCAACGAACGTTTGTTTGTAGATTGCAGGAGGTATTGTGATGTATCTCTTGATATTATTTCAATTTTTGCTGAACGCTATAGCTTGCGAAAATCTGGATTAACAATGTTTCCAAAAACATAATGTTGTCTGTAGTTAGTGTAACTGCGTTTGTGTGCAGATATAACCATCATCAATAAACAGTAAGATTTGAACGACATTGTCAATTACGTCACCTTAAATCTGCCACGAGATGCTTTTACGAGACGTTATTCTAGCATTGGTGTTTTTCAAGCGGCAAAGTTGGAATATTTCAGCATCCTCGTTCGAAACTTAGTTCAATTGATCCCACAAACTTAGTTTTGATCAGACAATGGTCGTGGTTTTGCATTGTAAGTTTACTTACGAATTCATTGATACAATTTCTTCTTGTCAAATCACGTTGAAGGAAGACTCGCAATGCCCAGGCTAGGAAAATACTGCGATAGTGTCAAAAATTGCTACTCGAATGGCACATCCTTTGTTATCGCGAAGAATTAATTAACATGGATGACTTGAGACTTTTTGACATAAATTACAAACTGACAACGTCACGTAATTTTCATTGCGCTAAAAGCATTCTCATCGCATCAGCGGCGACGATTTAGCAGTATATTCTTCATTGTCAGCCGAATGTCCCACTTTCTCATTATTTATTCATCTTCATCTTACATTTTTTAAATACTTGCTGAATTTACTTACTAGAACCGTAAATCATCGCAACAGCCTTTCAAACTGTACTATAATCTCATGTATTATCACATTAAGTGGTTTGTTTAAAAAACGGCCGATGTACATAAATAAACGAAGACGCGATCGGTTTGTTTGCATTGTCGTTAACAAGGTATTTCGCGTTGCACGTTCGTCGATTAAAGTGTGTGGCCAGTCGAAACGAGGCTCGAATTTTGAGATGTTTGAAAATTTCGCAAAAATCGCACCTTTCGGTGAACATAAAACATGGAGACTATTACGTGCCACGGACTTCGAGTCGCTAATGTGCTTTAACTTCCGCACGAATCTCGTTTTTGGACTTTTCCCCTACAAATACGAATCGTCCAGATACGTATTCTCGGGAATAAGGTTTGTCTACTCGACCCTCATACTTCTTATTTTCATAGCTGCCTTATCCGTTACAATTTATCAAGTAAATTTTGGCTCCCTAATGTACTACAACACACCCGGTACATTGCTCGCTAATTTTTCTCTATTCTTGGGAGGGTTCGACATCGTGGTAAAGTACGTTCTTACTCGGCCGACGTTGTGTCTTCTTCAGAATATCTCCAAAACGTCCCAGATATTATCACCCAAAGATTTCAACGATCTTGCGAAACTCTTTCACACGAAGGACATTTTTGGCCTCCTATTTCTGGCCGTTCACTTACCGAATTGTTTTAAACAGAACCTCTTCCGTACCGTGCGACATCTTACTTTTTTATATTTAATGACGGTGTGCTTTTTATTGGACATGTATTACATGAATTGCGTGTGCGTCCTGAAAGCTTGCTTCAGAAAAGTAAACGAAAATCTTGAAGGATTAAACAAACCTTGGACGAAAGATGAATTGCAATCGAATACGTCAGTGATGGATGAGGCTCCGCGTAACGAACAAAGGAATACCTTGTTGTTGATGAAAGTGAAAAATTTGGAGGAGAAACACCTGTGTATCAGCGACGTTGTTCAATTGTTAAATAAAACGTTTCTCGTGCACATTGTCATCTTGACGGTTACGACGTTCACCGTAATCACTTTCAACTTGTACTTCTTTCTCCTACGGTTGAACGAAAATTTTATTGTGGACTTGACGACACAGTTTTCGTATGTGCAATTTCTTCCAAGCATATTCTACACCATGATCAAATTCATGCTGTTAATTTGGGCCTGCGAAACTGCGAAAAATCAGGCGCTGGAAATCGGTGCTACCATTCACGATGTCTGTAGCCATGTTACTGATAGGTTGGTGAAATACGAGGTAATCGTTTAACGGCGTTGACGTTGTCAATTGCGCGATATTGATTTATTTCTAATCTACTCGTAAAATTATAGTTGGAGCTATTTTCTCTTCAAGTACTGCAGCGAGATAATACGTTCTCTGCGAGATTTGTCACGATGAACGCAGCGCTTCTTACACAGGTAACACTTTTGTGAGATAGCTGAGCGACACAGAAGAATCACACGAATGAGGAGTAACGTTCGGATTTTAACGAAATAGCATAGACGGAGAATCGTGAAATATTTGACCACATTCTGCCATAAGTGGAGGTAGATAATTTACGAGAAAAAATAAAAATTTCGTTAAATTCCGAACTTTACATTTCCATGTGGTTCTCTTGTCAGTACGTATCGTGGAGATTTATGGTAATTACATCAACGAACGTTTGTTTGTAGATCACAGGATCCATCGTGATGTATCTTTTAATATTATTCCAATTTTTGCTCAACGCCATAGCTTGTCAAAATCAGGTTAACAATCTTTCCAATGATCAAACCAATTATTTGTCATCCTTATGATAGACAACGTCGTACGTTTATATGGAGACGCTCGTAACAATTGTCAGACGTATTTGTGAGTAAATATGACCAATAAAGCGCAAGATTCAAACGATACTGTCAATTATGTTACCAAACCTGTCATAGCATTTAAACATCGATATCTTCTTGTATTTCGGGGAACAATCGAACGAACAAAGTGGCTAACGAGTCTTCGTGTGACGAACCATTCTATTCGATCGATTTCCAATATCAGTTCAAGCGTTACAAACTGGTGATCGTGTTAGGTTTCTTTTTTACAAAGGCAAAGTGTATTCACAGCCTTTTGTTTCAGGTGGTAGCGTGAAAGATACAATCAATCATCTGTTGCTCAGTGTACCCAATCATGTCCAATTATAGAATCGATGAATATTTTACTTAACTATCGTTTGTATACTACATTGGATCCATCGACAAATATCTCAGAATTTATTCTTCAGAAAGACAGACTCGAGAATAAAGGACCTCAGATTGCTCGACGCGTTTGAAAAAAAATATAATTGCACCTGAAATCACATAAAACCGAATACAGTATTGTCTCTCTATAGCCGCGCGTGTCGGGACCGGGCGCACGCAACTTGAGAGACGAGTAGTCTATTCGGCTTTCTTTGATTTGACGCTCGAGCGTTCAAGGGGGATGGGGCTCGTCGACTTTTCTTCGGCTTTCTGTTTGATATCCGATACCCGATGTTGCGGCGCGGTGATTACAAACGAAGTAGTGGGGATAGCTTCGCGTCTATAGAGAATCCGAAAACGCGCGGCTATAGAGAGACAATACTGTATTCGCCATCCGACTAGTACCTTAATCACGAGCTCGCCCCTTTTGTCTAATTCTGGCGGTAAACAGGCGACCGATTCCGTCGAGTAAGCGATCACGCGACTGCGCGAGTCATCGTGCCCGCCGAAGGCGCCGTTAGTTATGACCGATACGCAGTTCGTCAGTGTTGCGCCAACAGCCGCGCTGTAAACGTGTGTGCGCCCGACAGTCGTGCCAATTTACGCGGTCGACTGTTGTTTATTATCAAATAAGCGTGCACGTAACGCCGAAACGAATCGCGAGACGACGTTTTGACTTTGCGAGACAAGGCGTACGACGCGAGAATTACTTTGCGAACTAAACGATTCTCGGCCGTTTACCGCGAAGAGTAATTTTACACATAGACACTAGTGAACAGGAGCGACTCGCTGCGAGCAAAACAGTTCCCTCGAGTGTCCGCGCGAAAAAGTAAAAGTGTTCGTCCGTTTGGAAGCGCTGGAGCGATTAGATAAACGGCCAGTGAATCTTGGAAATCGGGGGCGCATGAAATTCCGCGGAAGAGCAATGCGTGGAAATCGAACGTTCCATCGATGTTCAGCCATCCATCGGTGGTAATGCTTCTGTTTGCACGACGCGGGCAGAGCCACGTACTTACGTATGACTGTATACGTACAGTGAGTCGCGGTATGCCGTGCGAGCCATTCTCAACTATTTGATGGGCCTTTTGGAGAGCGAATAAACCGGTGGATGCGCGGGAGATTCCAAAGTGATTTACACGTGATGAAGTAAGTATCAGGATCGCCTCCTCGATTCGTCTCGATTCGAAACATCGACTTTCGCGCGCGAACCGACGAGTCAACCAAACGGAGCAACTCCATTTTTGCGTAACGATACAGTGTACCATGCTCGCAATTTCTGTGATAACTGATTCAATCAGTAATAGCTTTGCACAGACTAGTCTTGTTACTGCCCCCAACCTGTTGCTCGAAGATCACACCCTTCCCTTGTTGACATCGTCCAATGAACGAAACTGTCATACAATAGTGGAGGTTCTGTGATGATTCAAACTTGGAGTACTTTCGATTTTAGAAAAATTACATTTTTACGATCTTTTTGTCAATGAAAATCAAAATTCAGATGAAGTGGGGTAATGTACATATACCTTCCACCCTCATCCTGTATACAGTGTGTTTTTGTTCGAATAGTGTACCGTTTTTGTGGAAGGTATCGTTAGAATGTTTAGCGCGTCTGCAGGTTAGTAAACAGTGGCTGTAAGACCATAGTGATTGCAAAAGAACACGTTATCGAGCTCGTTTCGCCGAAGATCGATAAGATTTCGCGTCCCAAATGAACGCTGAGCGTTTATTTGTCGTGCGGTTCAGACGTATGTTTTGAAAGTCCGCCTTCACATCGTCCATATCTCCCGTGCGAACAAATATTTTCGTCTGATAGCCGTGACGCGTGGCGCGGTGCCTTTAGAGACTCTTTGTTCCCCAAGATCAGTTTTCATTGCATTTTTCTTGAAGTCTTCCTTTTTTTTTTACGACTAAACTGGTCTCTACAATTTGCAAATTATAATTGAATAAGTATATCGGATGACTGTGTCTCGAAGAGAGAAGTCATCAATATCAACGATATTTAACAAAATATACTTATATTCGAGAATGCAAAATGTTGGTCGACTTAGTGCATCCTCAAAGTAGAATTCCATTCGTCCAAACCGGTTTTAGAACGATTTTGTTTAGGAGAAATTTGTTTTCAATCGAAACTTTTTATCGATGACCCCAGTGGCCAGTAAATTTTATTCAACTTTATTTTCATCTACTATCTTGTTTGCTGAAGATGATGTTTTCAGATTTGCCTTTTATCTATGTTCATGCCAAGGCATTTGACCTTTTCAGATCTTGGTATAGATTCGTTGTTTAGAAGGACTGAAGGACTGGTAGGCAAATTGTTTTCTCTAGCCTTTACGCAATATTTAGACAAAATGCGTTAGAATGCCACTATTACAACGTGTTTTACAAGACAAACTGAAACTCAATCATTCCCAGCGCGAAAAGAAAACTAAAAGTCCTTTATCACTTTGCAATCTTAGGCTTCGTTTTCGACGTACAAGCAGTTCGAGTCTCTCGATGTCCGGACACGCGCCATTTGTATTCCCGGTCAGCTGATCGCACGTGAAACTCGTGTCCGTAACGTTTTCCCACGCAAATGGTAACGGAATTTTCGAAAAATCAAAATAATTTTTGAAAGTTAGATAGTTTACATAGAAAATTAGAAACTTAAGTCGAGTTACTAGAGTTGATTTTAGCGAGTTCGGAGACCGTATATTCCACGGTAAAAGTATCATTCCTAAAAGGGGCGTCGTCAAGGGAGTGTGTTCTTGAGTTTATATAAAGACCCCACGTGCCAGAATTTGTCAAAGGCTTTGAACGATGTTCAGGAACGACGCTGAGCAGCGTTTCCCCAGTTCTTGACATCTGCTCGGTGGACTTTGAGTGGATAACGTAATTCTTGACACTCGAGGAATGTATTGAAAAAAACGTAGTGTCAGGATTGCTTCATTTTTTTTTTTTCACTAGAGGGATCCTAAGGTCCTCACTGAGAATCCCTGCTCTATAATCGAGACAGAATCGGTTACTTTTTCCTGTTTCATCGGCCGTGCACGGCCTTGTCGACGCCTCCTCTCACTCTTTCAGGCTGTGTCTCTGCTCCAATCGGTCGACCTTGCTTACGATAGTCATTGTCATGGTATTCTGCTAGATAGGATTGAATTGCTATCGTACTGTCAATGATTTGTGAGCTTAAAAAACTTGTTTGCTCACGAACTGGTCTTGACTCGCGGCTGTTGGATCTTGTTTTCGATTTCCATGGAAATCTCGTCTGTCGTTGACATTGTGTCTCGCCTCCACGAGCACAAATTGAATCTTCTAGCATCTTGACCGGCGTGCACGTCGTACCTACACGAATCCAGGGCGCCGCGTGTATAAATTTCAATACACACAGTGAGTCACAGCTAAACCTGTACACCGAGTATAAAAATACATTACGCCTCGTAAAAAAAGTTCAGGACGCGATGTGGAGGAAATAACATAATGAATATAGGGTATGCTCCGTTCAACGTAGCGCGCAATTTTATAGACAGAAAATAGTTTGTTTTCATGGCAAAGAAAAGGAGGTTCGAAAATATAGTTCTCGAGATCCGCTATTGGATGTAATACATCGAATTTCTTTTCGGTTTCAATTTGTTGTGTCCGTACTCTTAATATTTAATAGTAGAATTTCACTCTAATTAAATACGTAAAGGTATATCTTAGAGATCCGTTCTCTATGAGATCTGTTTATGAATTTTGAAGTTCACCCGCAGGAGAAAGGCAAAAGTGAAGAGCAGTTCTCCCTAGCGACGAATTCTTATCTTTGTATAATAAACACCATTTGCCAAACCCATGGCCAAAACTAAAACGAAACTCTAGACATATGCAGTCGTCACTGGAGATGATATTTGTAACATCGTGGAACGGCTAGGAAATCCAACACGTACAAAATAAGTGTTTTTTACTTTCAAAGAAAACGATCGTCACGCCATAACGTGATTAATATAGATCACGAAACTATTTGATTTATTTTTATTTCGATAAGTCTTTCTCGATAAATCATGTTTACACCGTTTCACTCTTAGCATTGTGCAATCTATCGCGCACCACCGACACTTTGAAGTATCGAACAATATTCTCGATTGTGGGTTTTAGCGATTAAAAAAAAGGTAGTAAAGTTCTGTGTTTAAATTTCATAGACTGTTAGTTCGTTTCAAAGGGATATTGTTGTTTCTCTGTTCTTTGTCGAGTTAGCTTAATCTCCTAAC